AGATACATGCTTCAGTGTTGTGCATCCTTCCACCCCAGGCTTGTCCCCACCCCTTCTTTCCTACCCCCTACCCCTAGCGGCATCTGCCTCTCTAGGCAGCGGGCAGATGGAGCACAGTGATTCTTTGCAGGCCATGGGCAAGCTTGCCTTTCACCTTTCTGGTCTTTTTTGCCTTATCTAGGAAAAACCACCTTCCTAAACTGCTTGCGGCTGCTTCTGTCAGAGAAATCATACCAGGTGTAGTGTAAGTACGATCACCTGGTACCTCTGAGGCTGGCAGAAGGTAGGGCCAGGCAGGGACACAGGGCAGTTCCAGCCATGTTTATAACACTTTATTTCCTTAAAACAAAGCAAAACAAAAAACTTGGGTAAGTGCAGCAAAACCATGAGCATGTATGCGAACAGGTGTTGGTTATTTATTCTCCATGCTTTATCCGTTAAATAATTATTTTTAAAAACTACCTAATGAAGACAAAAATACTATATATTTACTAAAGACTCAGGTAGACATTGAATTTGGTAGTTCACCACTTTCTTTCCTGGCTAGAAAATGTAATATTTATCATCCTTTCCCACATTTTAAAAATGATAAAGGAACTGGAATTAGACGTAGTGAGGTAGAACAGCCGGGTGCAGCAAGGTGGCTCACGCCGGTAATCCTAACACTGGGGAGGCCAAGATGGGTGGATTGCTTAAACTCAGGAGTTGGAGACCAGCCTGAGCAAGAGTGCGATCCCATCTCTACCCGACTAGAAAAGCTAGCCAGGCATTATGGCAAGTGCCCATAGTCCCAGGTACTTGGGAAGCTGAGGCAAGAGGATCATTTCAGCGCAGGAGTTTGAGGTTGCTATGAGCTGTGACACCATGGCAGTCTCCCAAGGGTGACCTAGTGAGACTGTCTCGGAATTAAAAAAGTAAAAATAAAAATAGAAAAACTAAAAAAAAAAAGTGGAGTGGCACCTGTGGCTCAAAGGAGTAGGCCTTTGGCCCTGCATGCCAGAGGTGGAAGGCTCAAACCCAGCCTCGGCCAAAAACTGAAAAAAAGTAGAGAAAACTAGTAAGATGTAAGGCACATGCCTATAGTCTCAGCTGCTCTGGAGGCTGAGGCAAGAGGATCCCTTGAGCTCAAGAGCTTGAGGTTGCTGTGAGCGGTGATGACTCTAGGACACTCTACCAAGGGTAACAGAGTAAGACTCTGTCTCAAAAAAAAAAAAAAAAAAAAAAGAGTGAGGTAGAAAAAATTAAACAGCAGAAGTAGAAACACCAGAGCAGTGGTACATGGCATTTGCTGTATTTTATTTTTATTGTAAAAAAAAAAATTCATGCTTATTGCAGTCATTTTTCTGAAGCATGAAGTGTGTAAAAAAATCTTTCTTCATCCTCTCAAGATTTTATTCTATGCATTACATATATGTGTATGTTTGTATGTGTATATGATTATATACATTCACATATAGATAATTTTCTTAACAAATCTTACACTCAATCCTACAACTTGTCTTTTTTGTTTACTGCTATATCTTGATGCTTTGAATCTATATAATTGGCTTGCCTTTCAGCATAGAGTTTTATTTAAAATTTAAAAAGGTTTTTTTTTGCGCTCTGGCATGATTTCTTAACTCCCAGTCAATGTGTTTTAAGTAGTATGTGTATTTAAATGCATCTATGTACTGTGACTTACATAATTTTGCCTTCGAGCAATACTGAACTCCTGGTATTATTGGTTGTTTTCTAGTCTTAGTTAATGGGTATTAAATGTATAAATACTCTCATGTGTAGACTAGAAAAATATTTTAAGGTTAAAAGGGAGCTTTATACTTTAGAAACCCTTGGGTAGAGGGCTAGGTAAGCAGCCTCCTGAAGCACCTTTCTGCTCTCCTGAGTTTTCCTAGTAAGTTGCTTGGTCGGCAGTCATTTAGCAGATAGCAAGTGTTGGCTTACCAGGGGCCAGGCACTGTTCTAGTCCCTGCTGTCCTGACCAGGGTGAGCTTGCATTCTGCTGATGGAGCAGACAGCACACAGTGAAAGCATTGAGGCAGTGCCAGGTGCAGTGAAGGAAGTGGGCCAAGGTCGGGGCATGGAGACCAGTGAGGGACAAATGGCTGGGTGGTATGAGCTGACTCCTCAACTGCCCAGGGGAGAGGTGCAGGCCCTGTGGCCTATAAGGGGCCTTGCAGCAAGACACAGAGTGACTGGCAGGTAGCATTCTGGTCTGGGTGGTTGTGCTTAAGACACTACTAAGGGACTGGGGCTTAATGCTTTGCTGGTGAGAATAGTTTTGATTGACAGGGGCCAGAGTTTGTGCACTTGAAGCTTTCTAACCACAGTCCACACTGGTGTCCCCACATGTCCTGAGCACCATCCCAGGGACCAGAAGCAGCAGGTGAGCTAAGAAGGGCATAGGAGGAAGGTGCGACCTATGTAGGCCATTCTTCCCCTGTCTAAGGTGGAGCCGGGGTGGGGAGGGAAGGGGCTCCCTACATGTCCTATTAGTTCATAAAGTCTACAGTCATGCTAGAAATTGCAGTTTTTTAAAAATACAATTCCCACGTGAAAGAAGATTGTTGAGGAGGTCTTTTGACAGTCTCCGTATCTTGTGGGAGTGTCACAGCGCACTGGAGGGTGTACAGGTGGCTGTTTGTGAAAAATTGGAGGCCAAAGCTTTCAAGTGACCTACCCAGCTAAGGAGAGGAATACTAGCCAATCCCCAACCCCATCCTGGGTGAAAGAACCTAACAGTCCCTGACTTTAAATGAAGACCCAGTTCGGAGGAAGGAAGGCCAGTGTGGCTTCAGCGTAGGGCAGCTCTTACTTTTCAGCTAGCCTGGATACAGAAATCCTATGCCTAGGCCACCTGGCTTTTTCATTTCCAGCCAAGGCCATTCATTCATTATCTTCCTACTTTAGAGGTGAGCTCAGCCAGGGGCACTCAAAATAGATCCTTTCAAAAGACTAGTTTCCTCCCACAGGGATAGGGAACTTGCAGCCTCAAGGCCACTTGTGGCCCTCCAGATCCCCCCTGAGTGCAGCCCCTCAACCAGATTCTAACTTCACAGAACAAATCCCTTTATTAAAAGGGTTTGTTCTATAAAATTTAAGCAAAAGGCCATATTCAAGGATCCAGAAGACTAAATGTGGCCTCGAGGCCACAGGTTCCCCACTCCCCTACCTCCCAAAGAGCTGGCCCAAGGGCGCTCCGGGGCTGGGAGGCCCAGGAGGTATGCAGGAAGTGAGCAGAACCTGCCAGTGAGTGGGCAGTGCCAAGGTTCTCCCAACTGCCTGCAGAGTGAGGGCACCTGAATGCCAGAGGGAGATAAACTAAGGTGGCTCCCCTCTTCGTCCTCTCTTCCATGGCACTTACCCTGGGAGAGTGTGGGTTGCATGTTCCGGGCCACTCAGAGCTGGGCCCTCCATGCAGAATTGAATACAGCCTGCTTTGTACTTCCCAACTTTGTCACTCCCTCCCCAACACACCCCAGCCCATCTGTTCCTCAGCAAATGCCTGCAGCTAGGATTTCTCAGTGGGGTTCTGCCACTGGGACTAATGGGGGTGGTCCCCTCCAAGTGTCCTGTCTGAGAAGGATGAGTTCCATGGACTCAGGACTGCAGAGAGCTGCATCCTCTGGCCACAGTCTAAGCCTCACTTGTCCCTAAAAAGGGAAAGTTAGTGCCTTTCTTTTGAGAGCGCCTTCTCTTTTCTTCTCTTCTTGGGGTAGACCACACTATTGTGTTAATTTCTGGCAACCACACTTAGAAAGATATAGATGAAACCAGAAGGTCACAAAAGCCACCAAGAAGCTGATCAGCTTCTATTTATCAAGGGTCTGTGCCAGGCCAGGTGGGTGCTGGCTGTTCTGTCTGCATTGATTCATTTAATCTTCATCGCCACCCTGGGAGGCCAGCCTTATCTCAGAGATGGGACACTGAGGCTTAGAGAGGTTAAGTGACTTGCCATGTCACAGGGCTCATGAGTGGTGAAGCAGGGATTTGAACCAAGTCTGGGGCTCTTTGTGCTATCCTGCTTCTACCAAGGAGTGTCAGAAAGACAAGGAGACTTGTGAGAGACGGGACACTGCTGATAAACTACAGGACACTCATTTAAATTTGAATTTCAGAAAATAACTAATAGCTGTTTTTACACTAAGTATATCCCATGCAATATTTGGGGCATACTCATGCTACAAAAAATTACCCGAAATTTAAACTTAACTGAGTATCCTCTATTTTTATTTGTATAATCTGAAAATGCTACTTGAGGACCCCAAAAAACACACATTCTGTGCCTAATGTGTGGGCACAAAAAATTATTTGTTTTTATAAGCATGTCCTATGCAGTATTTGATACATAAATAAAAAATTATTTGTTGTTTACCTGAAATTTAAACTTAACTGGCATCTTGTATTTTTATTTGGCAACCCTACCTTGACCCCAGGAAGCACACCAAGCCTTACAGATACATGGGTATCTGCGGGTGGTTCACAGGCCATCCCGTAAAAGCACAGGTGGCATGGCAGGTGGTTAGCTCCCTGTAGCAGGCTGTGGTCAGATGTGGACTGGACAACCACTTGGTGAGTGTTGTAGAGGGAACTTGGGTTTCAGATCCTGGGTCCAGTGAGATTCTAGGATGCAAGTGTTACTGAGACAAGGAGGCGAGTTATTTACCTGGGTCCTCACTGAGCTGTGACCATGCAGGGTTAGGAAGTTGTCTCTGAAGTCATTCACTATCAGCACCATGTTGAGAAGACCAGTTCTCCCTGCTGTCCACAAGTGATGGATGGCTCACTTAGCTGGTGGAAACTGAACCAGAGTGGCGTCTGTAAGTGTTCCGGTTTGGCCTGAAGAAGCACTGTGTTAAAGATGAAATGAAACACCCTTTTTGTCTCTTTTGCTGAGAACTGATGGCAATTTCCTTCTTCTTTATGTGTCCCTGCAGCAGAGCATGACTTCTGTGCCAGACTGAGGACTGACGTGCCCCACATCACTCCTGGGCCACGATAGCATGAAAAACACTCACCCTCAAGGTTCTGCACAGGCCCTCCCAGGCAAGTAATAAGCAGGCGAGAAGTGTGGCTATTTGTTTCTTTGATTTTTGAGAGATTCTCTGTGTGGCCACTTCTTGTCAGCCAGTCTGGATTTTAAAACAGCCAGCTCATAATTGCTTCAGTGTGACTTCTGCTGCTGTGAATCATGCCCAGCAAAGGTCTGGTCCCTGGCAGTCCTCCTCCTGCCACCTGCCTGCAGGCCCATGTGGGAGCTCATGGTGACATTAGCCTGGGCCCAGCAGGAGTCAAGAGGCAGATGTACAAAGCAAAACCTTATCCCATGTTCCCAAAGCAAGCAGAGATGGCATCCTCTCATTACCACTCCCTCCATGAAGGTGTTCTAAATGTGATTTTATTATTAAATCAGTTATCTAATATTAATTAAATATGAAATGTTAGAGTAAACACCAAGTCAGACTACATATTGTATCAATGGAAAAAGATTTAAATTTTTGTGCTTATACTGTTAACTGAAATCTCCTGTTCTCTTTATTACTTTTTGTTTAATGAGTTTATTTTTAAGCAGCAGGGGCATCTTGCTTGTGTTTTCCAGGAAGAATTGTTGAATGGCTGACATTTGACAACATGCACCACCAGTGGCTTCTGTTGGCCGCTTGCTTTTGGGTCATTTTCATGTTCATGGTGGCTAGCAAGTTTATCACGTTGACCTTCAAAGACCCAGATGGTAGGTATGCTTTGTGGTGGAATGAATTTTGGCTACTTCACACCTTGCCGCAACACTGTCCCTAGGCACATGCACAGATGACCTCTGTCACAGAATCCAAGGACTTTAATGTTAGCAGGGACCTTGGAGATCATGATATCCAAGTGCTTCATGTTACCGAGGGGAGGGGGTAGCAGAAAGGAGGGAAGGATCTTTTCAAGCACCTGAGGGCAGAAGGTGGTGCCTGAGGAGCAGGGAGCAGGGCCCCTCCCAGCAGGTCCTGTGCCTTGCAGCCAGGTGTCTTGCAGGCTCCTACTTTGGAAGTCCTCTCTGCCTCATGCCACCATAATGGACGTAGTCACTGTGCCATCTGGAGTTCTGCACTGGTGGCCACATGTTTGAAAGTCACCTCAGCAGGAGGAGGGTCATTTAAATGTAAGTTGTCAAGTTGTCTTTATATAGGCGCTCACATGAGGTCATGTAAAGAGTGTCACATTCTGTCTCAGAATTGCTGATTCTGCTTCATACTCTTGCTATTTTTTACCTAAGCCACAGTGTTTTTTCTACAAACTGGACATGCTCCCTTCTTGGGCAGTGTCCACGGCTGGCCTGAGCATGGTGAGACACTCTATGATAGGAAGTTCTGGGTGCTGGCAGGGAGGAGTATGATAAGCTCTGCAGCAGAGACCAGCTCCCTCAGTGGCCAGGTGACTGGGCAGGTGAGGCAGCAGGAGGGGCCTGAGCATTTCTGCCTGATGGGGAGACACATGGGTCTTTAGTCTGCATGGTGCTCTGTGCTTCCTCCTGCTGATGGAGGCCCTTAGAAATGCATTTGCACCAGTGGTTTCCCTGACCTGTGCTATCTGTGTGACCCATGGGCTACAGTGTCCTGTTCCATGCTGGAGAGCTCCCAGGCATGTCCCTGGCTGCGTTGAGGGCTGCCTGATGCCCCAGATCTTCTGCCCCATCCTCCCTCTGCCCGCTCCACCTGTAGAGGGATAACAAGGTGGGAAGGTAGGTCTGCAGGGAAAAGAGGGATACCCTGACATTAGCCCACATGAGGGTTCTTCCTTCATAGTGCACTCAGTGACAGCTACTGGGCACATGGTGCTGGGGCCCTGCCTGGCTCTCATCGTATGTCCCACCTCATGAGGTTTAGGCCCTCATGAGAAAACTCATGAGATGCACACAGCTTCAGGAAGGTGCTGTTACACCTGCGGGTGTCTAGGTGGCCAGGACATCATGGAACTTCACACTCATACTGGGACTATGAGTTCTGTCAGCAGAGCCAGGGTCATTTATTGGAGGGTTTTTGGAATTTGAGATGATGATCTCAGTGTGACAGTTTGGATGTTGCTGCAGCAACTTCAGCACAGTGACAGGTCACCAATGATGGCAGTCCCTCCTGTACTTCAGAGTCATCTGAAGGACTTTGTAAGCCTTCCTCTGCTTGAGACTAAGTGAATTAGAGCCTCTAGAGTGGGTTTCAGTTGTGAACCACAGATGTGGATAATAATTTGGAAATGGAAAGAGAAACAGAGCTGCTGAGAATAAGAAATAGATATTACTTGTAACTCCTCCAAATGTTTCCTCTTCATGAGGAAGGGCCTCAAAAGGCAGGTAATGAAGGTTGAATTGTTTACGGTTTATTTCAAGAAAATAGGAGTATATGTAATGTATTTTAGTGGGGCGTCTATCAATAATAGTTAAATAAAATGGTTACCACAGCACAGTGCAGCCTGTCTTAAGGCACACAGGATCTTACCTAACTGCCTTGTGTTTTAATGTTATCTGGCAGAGTAAAGAACACCTCATTTCCAGCGGTCTCTGATTCACAAGGCGTCCTGCTTAATGTGTCAAGTTTAGTGCTGAACTCTTCCAGAAAATTATAGACGCTGATCTCAGAAGCTAGGCAGGATCAGCCCTAGTTAAGTACTTGGATGGGAGACTGCTTTGTAAATACTGGGTGCCTTGGGCTTAAAAAGAAAGAAAGAAAAGTGTGAATGTTGGAGAAGCTTTTGTGGAGGGAAAGCAACAAGTGTTAGTGTTAAGAGGTAAAATGTATGAAGAAAGGTGGAAGGCTTGGGACTTCAAATGTGGAGGAAAGCTCTGCAGCCAGCCTTAGTACTGCTGGCCATGTATTTCCAGCTGTCTGCCTTGTGGCCAGTGGTAGGGGCCACTCTGCCCCCTGGAGTTTGGAGTGGCATGTGAGTGCTGGGTCACTGAAATGGGAGTACAGTGACATGGCCACTCCCGGGGGCTTCAGAACCAGCGCACAGTGGGCCTTGCTCCCCTTTACCCCAAGGTGGGGCTGTCCAGCATCCTAGCAGTGTGCAGTGAACTTAGAGAATGTGAGTCCCCTGTGGTTGGCCCACTGAAGGTGTGGTGTGGTCACCAGGGCATAGGACAGCCTGTCCTAATGCACATAGGATCTTACCTAACTGCCCAGAAGTACCTGCTAAGGGTCATGAAGGTGTCTGGGAGCCGAGCTCTGATGAGGGAAGGGTGCTGACATGCAGGCTGTCTTCCCAACCTGCGTGGTTCAGCTGGGCTCTGGTTAAGCCAGAGAAGTTATACACTCAGCACCCATCCCTGTAGCTGACAGAGGGGCTCTGGGGGGAGGCTGGTGCAGGCATCTCCCACCTGGGTCCTGTCCCTGAGTCCTGCCCCTCTCCCACCTGAGTGCTGTGGCTAGTGGGTAAGGTCCTAGAGCCTCATGGGCCCTCTGTCTAAGGGGACAGTTGGAGGTCAGCCCACTGGTGGATCTTGGAGCAGTATGGGAAACTGGAAAGGATTTGTAAACGTGGCCGTAGGATTTCTCACCTGTTGGAGTTTACTTCATACGTGTTCACAGCGTACTTGCTTCTGAGCAGAAGCCTGTTGTGAAGCATCGTTCCGGGAAGTAACCTATAACACGGTGCGATCCTCCGTGAAGGGGCTTCCTTTCCTGTGGAGCCGGTGGAGAATCCTTGGCCTCAGTGTTCTGGGGCTGCTTCTTCCAGCTCTGCCCTCCAGGAAGCGGGCCCTGCCCGGGAATCCCAGTCAGAGGACACACATCTTCTCGCCTACCTGTTCATCATGATTTCTCCTGTCACTAGAGCCGATGGGAAGAGCACATTTGTCTTGAACTGCTGTTTAAAGCAACACTTAACCCTTTTTTTATATTTTATAATCTCTCTTCAGCTCAGCAGTGGAACCGCAGTGGTATTTGTGGCAGTGATTTATCTTCCATTAACAAATTTCCGTGTCACATTGAAGTAGGATCAGGTGTTATAACTAGACATTATCACAGGAAAATAAATCCCACTCAGCAGTGGGAATTTGATGGCATGGGATGTCGGGACTCAGAATCAAAAATGACATCCTCGTGGATCTGGTGTGTTTGTAGACACTGATTTTTCTTCTCTCTCCTATTTGACTTCCTCTTCCAATCTTTTGCCTGTGGTAGCCCCTCCATTCTGTTGTAGGCTGCTTGGGCATGGACCACCACTTGGTTGTCCCCACACTCCTCCGCCCAGCACAAGCTGGGGACAAAGGACATGTGTGTGATGGAGTCATGAGGCTCAGCAGCTAGCTACACAGCAGCCCAACTGACAGGAGGGGCTGTGATTGCTTCTAGAAAAACAAGCAGTACATCACTTGGCAAATTTAAGCATTTTGTAAAACATTGTAAACACGGTGCCTGTAACAAAAGTAAGCTAAGATGTCATGCACACATCTACCCATACCTTGAGGATTGGAATCCTGAGTCCTCAAGCCGGGGGACTTGCTCCTAGGACTCCCGGCAGAGGGAGGGACCTCTCCAAGATCACAGTGGGAACAATGTGTCTACTGAAAATAAACAGCTCTTGACAAAGTAACAGAAAAAGAAATTCATGGGTTAATGATGCTGTCAGTTTTATCTGAATCTAGTTGAATCAGGGTTGGATAAGTTGAAATCAGGAAGTTTAAAATCATAGAAATGTTAAAATTGGGCACCGACTGGTAGCGTGTGTGGCTTCAGAGGTGAGGCACTTCACATTGCCAAAGTGTTCTGCATGGTTCTGAAATACGAAACAGGTTGCGTTTCACAAGTTCATTGATAAGTTGGTTATTTAGACTTCAGGATACATTTCCCTACCAAATGTTACTAAGAAAGCTTAGATTTCTACAAAACCCAGTTAGTGTCACTGCTCAGCAGTCAGAAGTGACAGTCGTGATGGAGGATGATGGACAGACACATGGTTCTCTGGGAACCCTTGGAGTGTGCCCTGGTCTGTTTTCACCCCATACACAGTGCTCTTCTGTCTTTACTGCAGGGACAGAGCAGCCCTCCTTGCAGCTCTGGTTAGGCCTGCATGTAGATGCAACCATAGCAAAAAGGAAGCAAGGTTCTAGGCAGGGGTCCTCAAACTTTTTAAACAGGGGGCCAGTTCACTGTCCCTCAGACCGTTGGAGTTCCAGACTGCGGGCCCCGGGACGAGTCAGCTGCCAAGCAGGACAGGGAGCAGCAGCTAAAACACCCAGCAGGCCAGATAAATGTCCTAGGCGGCTGCATGTGGCCCACAGCCCATAGTTTGGGGACGCCTGTTCTAGGGGGTTCATAAGATGTGAGGCAGAGAGATTGCACTAGAATCAAGTAACTGGGATGTAAGAGGCAGAGAGACTGTCATTTAGTCCCAGCACTTGGAGGATCAAGTTCATCCTACCTCAGGGAAGAAAGAGGTGGCAGGGAGGCCACTTGGGTGTGCAAGAGGAAGGGACCTTTAACAGTCCCAGGCTTGGGATTGCAGGACAACTATGGGCTAAGTACAGGTATTAATGGCCCAAGAGGAGTAGGCTTTTAAATTCAAAAAGTGAAACATACTTTTGTATAACCCACTTTTATGCTTTTGATAGCCAATTTTTGTTTCTTCTGCAAAATTTTGAAATGTAAATGTTTCTTTGTTTATAGAGAATTAAGGATTATCCTTAAATTCTATCCCAAAGATTTCCCCAAGATCAGTTTGTTGTAAATTATTACTCTGGACAAGCACTTTATAAGATTTCTCTAGTCCCTGATTTTTAAACCAATGTGTAAGCCCTAATTTGACTTGGCCTTTTTAAAATTAAGCGTTTTATTTTGAGATCATTGTGAAGTCACATACAGTTGTAAGAAGTAACAGAGAGACACCCAATGCTCCCTTTACCAGTTTCCCCCAAAGGTAACATCTTGTGAAACTCTGGGGCAGTGCCGCAGCTAGGATATTGGCACGGATGCAGTCAAGTGGAGGCCCTTCCATCACCAGCTCTACCCCTCTCCCCAGGCACCTGACCCCTGCCAACCACTAACCTGTTCCCTTCTCTATAATCTTGTCATTTCAAGAACATTGTGTATGTATGTAACCTTTTAGGATTGGCTTTTTTCATTCAACACAACAATTCTTTCCTTGGAGATTCCTCCAACTCGTTGCTTGTTTCAGTGGTTTCTTCCTTCTTACTGCTGAATACTGTTCCATGGTGTGGTCATTCTACTGCGTGTCAACCACTCACCAGGTGAAAAACACCTGGATCACTTCCAGTTTGGAGCTATTACAAATGAACTACTGTGAACATTCGTGTACAGGATTTTTTCTGAATATAAACTTCCATTTCTGTAGATTAAATGCCGAGCAGTACAATTGCTGGATTGTATGATAGTTGCCTGTTTAGTTTTTCAAGAAACTGCCAAAAGATTTTCCAGGCTTGCTGTACACTGCTTTTCTTTCCCACCAGCAACATAGGCGTGATCAAGTTTCTCCACGCCCTCACCTGTCATTTGGCATTTTTACTATTTATTTTTGTAGCCTTTCTGATAAGTGTGTAGTAGTATCTCATTGTGGTTTTAACCTGCATGTTCTCACAGCTAACGATGTTGAACATCTTTTTGTGTGTTTTATTTGCTGTTCGTATGTCCTGTGCCATGAAATACCTGTGTATGTCTTGGCCGTTTTCTAATTGGATTGGTTGATTTTTTTAATTGTTGAGTTTTGAGAGTTCTTTATATATTCTAGATACTAGTCCTTTGTTAGGTAGTATGGTTTGTCATAGCTTGTTTTTTTCCACTTCAAATGGCCTTTCACAGAGTAGGTTCTCTGTTTTGTTTTTAATTTTATAGTTTTATGTTTCACATTTAAGTCTGTGATCCATTTTGAGTTCGTTTTTAATAGGGTATAATGTTTAGATAAAGATTCAATTTTTTTTGTCTGTTCATGTCCAATTGCTCAAGCACCATCTGTTGAAAAGACTGTCTTCCTCCACTGAATTGTTTTTGTACCTTTGTCAAAAATCAGTCGGGCATCTTTGTGTGGATCTATTTCTGGAGCTTCTGTCCTGTGCCATTGTTCTCTATGCCTGTTCCTCCTTGAGAAGACATTTTAACCTCTCTGTCTTCCAGCATACAGTGCCAAACAGGAGTTTCTGTTCCTGACAACTATGCCAGAAGTAGGGAAGCTGGCAGAAGAGAAGCACTTCCCTGAAGAACTGAAGGTAGGCACAAGCCAGGCAAAGAGCCTGACCCCTCTAACACGACCAATGCAGCTTCCCTCAGGCACCCCTCAGTCGGGGCAGCCCTCGCCTTCCCAGAGTCTGTGCTCTCTCTGCCACTGGTTTCTACTTATCAAATCCTGCTTTATAGCAGCTGCTTCTGTTACTTCTGTTTGGGGGGGTACAAGGTCACACATTTCTGTTCCTCACAGTACTTACACATCACGGATGCTCTGTAGATGTCAGTTGTGCTGGATTCCTGACCAGCTGAGCATGAGCCTCACTAGGGGGATGGAATGGAGAGCACCCAGCAAAGTACAGAGAAACTGGGAGTGGGAAAAGATACCTGACCCAGAGTCATGGAATTTTAGAGGAAGAAGGGCCCTTGAACGGCAGAGCAGCTATGCCAGCCTCCAGATTGCACGGATGAGAGGACTAAGTCTAGGAAAACGCCTAATCCTCCAAGTCACATGGACGTTACTGGCAGAGCCCAACCTGCTGACTTTAACCCAGCTCTTGCCTGACTTAGCTTTCTGACTCCACATCTTTCTCTGCAGGCTCCTTTTGCACGTAAATTCCCAGTAGTCCTCTGGCCAGGGTGAGGAATGTACTCTCGAAGAGCCCCTCTCACTTGCTGTCTTTTTTGTTTATTTAATTTCAAAATATTAAGAGGGTACAGATGATTTAAGTTGCATGGATTGCTTTTGTAATGCTTGAGTCCTGGCTATAGGTGTGCCTATCACCCAGACAGTGTTCATAGTGCCCATTAAGTAGGTTTTTCCACCTCCCTTCTGCCTCCTCCCCCTGATTGATTCCCACCAAGTTTTACTTCCCTCTGTGCTCATGTCTGCTCATTGGTTAATGCCAGTTTAATAGTGAGTACGCGTGGTGACTCTGGGATGGGAACCCTGCAGCCTTAAGGCAGAATGTGGCCTTGTAGGTCATTAAGCACAGCCTTTTGACTGAATCTGAATTTAGAACAAACAAATGCTTTTATTAAAAGGGATACAGCAAAAAGGTTTTCTTGGCTCAGTACCCATAGCACAGTGGTTATGGCACCAGCCACATGTGCCAAGGGTGGTGGGTTTGAACCCAGCCTGGGCCTGCTACACAACAATGAGAACTGCAATAAGAAAATAGCCAGGCATTATCGTGGGCACCTGTAGTCCCAGCTACTTGGGAGGCTGAGGCAAGAGAATCCTTGAAGCCCAAGAATTTGAGGTTGCTGTGAGCTGTGATATCATAGCACCCTATCAAGAGTGACGTAGACTCTGTCTCAAAAAAAAAAAAAAAGCCTCCTTTGGTGCTTAAAAAAGAACAATTTTGAGATCAGAAGGTGCGGGTTCCCCACCCCTGAATGGTCTCCAATTCTATCCAGATGGTTGAAAAGGTATAATTCATCCTTTTTATGGCTGAGTACTACTGTCTGGTATACATATACATTTTATTAATCTACTCATGAATTGATGGGCACTTGGGTTGATTTCCACATCTGTGCAGTTGTGAATTGTGCTGCAGTAAACATTTGAGTGTAGGTATCTTTTTGATGAGAGTCTTCTTTTCCTTTGAGCAAATACCAAATAGTGAGATTGCTGAATCAATTGATAGGTCTACTTTTAGTTCTTTGAAGGATCTCCAAACTGTTTTCCATAGAGTCTGTACTAATTTGCAGTCCTACCAACAGCGTATAAATATTCCTTTCTCTCTGCATCCATGCCAGCATCTATTGTTTTTAGACATTTTAGTAAAAGCCATTCTGATTGGGTGATACCTCATTGTGGTTTTAATTTGCATTTTCCTAATGAGTAGTGACATGGAGCTTTTTGTTTATATATGTGTATTGACCATTTTTCTTTCTTTTTTTGAGAAGCTTCTGTTCTTGTCTTTTGATCACTTTTTAATAGGAATTTTTTGGGGGTTTTTTCTTGCTGATTTGCTGAGTTCTTTGTAAATTCTGATTAGTAGCCCTTCATCAGGTGTGTAGCTTGTGAATATTTTCTCCCATTCTATAAGTTATCTCTTATGTTGATTGTTTCCTTAGATGTGTAGAAGCTTTTTAGTTTAATCAAATTCCATTTATTTATTTCTGTTGTTGCCATGATTGCCATTGGGGTCTTAGTCATAAATTCTTTGCCTAGGCCACTATCAGGAAGAGTTTTTCCTACATTATCCCAACTGGCTATCAGGAGTGGGCTCCATCCCTCTTGTGTCAACTCTGTCCTCTGGTGTCAGGTTGCACCAGGGCATACCTGAACACAGTTTCTATGGCACCCTGGTCTGGGATCTTCCCTGCCAAGAGACCCTAGTCAGACAATGCAGCTTTCGCGTAGCGGGGACAGTGCTTCCTCAGATGTCCGTGTCTCAGATGGACGTACATCTCTGAGAAATGCTGGCAGGCAAGAAGCTCCCAGATTGGGCACCCCAAGGTCCTCAAGGGGAGAGTCATGGTCCCAACTCTCTATGGAAACCTCAGACTGGAGGATACACCAGCTGGGGAGAGATGGCTACACACCAAATTCTCAGCTCAAACACCAGTTGCAGTGGGTGGGGAAGAAGCAGGGAAGGACAAGAGTGTGAATGGAAAAAAGCCGACCCTCTGGTCTCTAGGGTCACACTCCTTCGAGGGGAACCCTGCATGGAATGTCCAAGCTCTGCAATCACTCAAGTTCTCCCCACAATTCTGTCATCACCACAGTGCTTGGGCTCATGGGCTGATAAAGCTCCTAAGCTTCTGAGTAACTTGGTAGCCTGATGAGCTCTGAAGGAGTGTGGCAGGGAGAAGTTTCCCCCTCTCACCTTCCACCTACACTGGGCTCTGAGCCTCTCTGATTTGATCCTCGCTGTATCTTTTGTTCCTTCATCCTCTTCTCTGCTTTGCATTCTTCCTTCATGAGGTCCCTGGCAGGCTCCAGCACGTCTTTCTCTGGCCTGTAGCTGAGCTGTGCCCCCTCTCCCTTCTCCTTTCTCTGAAACCCTGGCAAGGGATGTCTCCCATCAGCCATTTTGCCTCCTCCTTCACTTGCCAACTTTCATTCTAGATCTGGATGGTTGAGGTTACATTTGTTGCCAGAGGAAGGAAATGAATCAAGCAGGTTGTAAAAATGTTTATCAGCCCAGAATTAAGCTGCAGAGAGAAGGACAGCTTCTGTCTGTGGTTGGCAGTGTAAGGGTGACAAATTAGAACCCAGTAAAAATAGAAAGCCTATACCTGGTCAGAGGAGAGTGCTGTGGAGTTTACTTCTGTCAGGACATGGAGGTATAGAGATCAAGTCTGTAGAACTCTGAGAGGCCCAGAAATGTTGCTTTTAGGTTGAGGCATCCTAGGGCAAAAGAAAAGAATTTGGATGGGCTCTATACAGACGAGAAATGAAAGAGCCTAGAGAACACAGGAGGGCAGCTTGAGTGGGATGAGTTACGGAAGACATGGATAAAAACCAAGGAGGACAAGCCTTTTTGCAAAGTCCCCTTCTCTTCCCACCTTCTTTTGGGATAAATGAGCAAGAGATGGGATCCTTGAGGAAATGAAGTTAACTTAGACCCTTCTTGAAAGAGCAAGGAGAGTGCCTGGTGTGGCTTCCAGAATTCTGTGGCAGGTGGAGGGCAGAGGGCAACAGGTGCAAGCAGCAGGGTCATGTGGGAAGGCTCAAAGGCCACTCACAAAGGACAGAGGGAGTAAGTCTATAGGCACCTGCTCTCACTTCCCAGAGGGCCCCAACTCTGAAAGTAGGCTGTCAGGAATCTCCAGATGTGCTTCCCTGTACCCCAAGAAATTCAGTTACAGACTCAAGGGAGAAAGAGTGCCCTGGACAGAGGTTGTGGAGTGTAAGGGAGTTTGGTTATGGTAGATCCGTGAAGGAAGAAAAGTGGGTTCCCACGTTTCCAATGTCTTTGTTCTACTGCGTTCTAAGGCTCACACCCTCCTCCCCATCTTGTAACTGACTCAGTCCCTAGGGAGGACATATTGTTACAACTGCTGGGTAAATGGATTGCCCGGCAAGGCTAGTGCATTTAAAAAGATGTAAGAAGGGTATTTTGGTCCATTCAATAAAGTTCATTTGGAGGGACTGTCCGCTTTGTGATCTTGGGACGAATTTCTGTGTAGCATTAAGGGGAGAAATAACAGATGTAGCTGCAACAGCATTTCAACACGCTGAGAAACAGGGCCACCGCCAGGGAGCGCTGAAGGGCTGGGTGAGGCACACAGCCCGGTTCACAAGGGCCCTCCTGCCTCTTCTTGGAGAAGATGGTGATGTGAGCAAGGGGGGGATTTTAACTGACTGAGGACACAGGTCTCTGAGCAGCTTTTGTGTACAGAGTCACAGGTGTTCTCAGCTGACCCCAAGTGGAGTAGACACCCAACAGGCAGTTGAGAAGTGGCCCTGCCACCTAGCAAAGCAGCACAAAGCATGTGCCCTCATTTGCTTTTTCATCCTTTGAGGCTTTGTTTGTTTTTCCTAGCATGCAAATTCCAAACACCTATTTTGATTTGTTTTCTTTTTTTAAATCAATCTTTTTCCAAGAAGGAAAGTCGGATGAAGCAAGTCTGCTTGTGTTTTCTTGCCCACTGTGCCGTCATGTCCATGCCTTACCAGCACAGTGGGAAGGCCCCGAGGAAGGCCTAGAAAGTGGCTGGGATAGTGGTTGTCACCCTGTGAAAGGGGAGGAAGGGAAACGAGGAAACCTAGGTGGTGAGGAAGGGACAGGCCAACAGGAGTGTTTCCTGCTCTGGCTCCTGCATCTTTCTAACCACCCTCGTGCCTGTCTTGCCACCTGTCCCCTGCAGCCGACCGGGAAGGTGCTTCCGGATAGCCGCCTTGTTCAGCCCCTGGTCTACATGGAGCGCCTGGAACTCATAAGAAACGTCTGCAGGGATGAAGCCTTGAGGAATCTCTCTCATACTGCTATCTCCAAGTTTGTCCTGGACCGAATATTTGTCTGTGACAAGCACAAGATTCTTTTCTGCCAGACTCCCAAAGTGGGCAACACCCAGTGGAAGAAAGTGCTGATTGTTCTAAATGGTACGTTAGAACAAGGCCAGTGAACGTCTATCTGGGATGTCCAGGGTTGGCCTGGGCAGGGGACACCAGAGAGGAATCAGGAGGGGTGGTTTCTCTGGAAAGGCCCGGCAGCCCCACAAACGGTTCTCTGTCATTGCTGTTTCCTATTAGTGTTGTGCTTTGAAAGTCAGTAGGGTTCATTTAGGCACTGATTCTTTTCAAAGGGGCACAGGCAAGGTCAGGAGCTCCTTGCCTTTCATGGTGGAATCCCCACCCTAGGCACCTTGCCCACCCTGTTGGTCCTCTGTCTTCTTCTCTTCAACTTCCTGAGCTGATTCTCACAGCCATGTGCTCTGTCCTGAGTGAAGCAGGGGACCCTGCCACGGAGCCTGGGGCCTCTTCACCTGCAGGCCACGTATTCTGTGTTGGTTGGGAAAAAAGAAAGTGTACCCCATTTTACCCTAAGCATTTGTATTCAGAGGGGTTAGTCAGCTTGCTTCAGGGAAAATCTGATGTTTCCTGGGGAACAAATTATATCATCGAAAAGTGGCCTCGTGTACTACAGTTCTTATTACTCACCTGTCTTAGGTACCATGTTTGTTGGTTGGTTTAAATTAGCCTGACTTGATCTAAGATAATTATGGGCTCTGTCTCTTAAATTCAGCTTTGAAAGGAACTTAGTTCCAGCTGGTAGCAGTGGGCCACCTAGATTAGGAATCACATCTTGGGGCCTCAAGGTGAGTGGCCCTGGTACTCTTGTCCTCGGTGTTGGCTACTGTTTGGCCTTTGCCCTAGTTGGTCAGGGGAAAAAAGGGTGATACCACTTCTTGTGGCCATCAGGTGTTTAACTAATGTGCTCCTGGAGTAGTGTGATAGCATGTTGGGCTTTTGAAATTGGAGAACAAGGTCACAAGTTAGATAGAAAACAAGGAATACCCAAGACGAACAGGCCGCCACGGTTTGAAGTATACTTTAACAAGATGAGCACCACTCACCAGTGTGGACTTGCCAGGTCATCTAAGGAAGAAGGATATCTTCAGTCATCCTTAGATGCCCCTAACGGGGACAGGTCCGTGGGTGGGTGGGTGCAGGTGCAGATTCATAGTCTGCATTAAGAAGAGTGAAAATACCTGCCCAGCCGACAGCCCCAGGGTGCCCTCCCAGGTCCCATTCAGTAGCCTGGACCCAGCACTGAGTCTGGATGACAGACTGGCTACTGATGGTGCCTGCCTTTTCCTCAGACAGTCTTGTGCTCCTGTGACTCCTGACTCTGCAACTCCCACAACTTTAGCCAGACTTTTCCAGCATCAGAAGTCTTTGCCACTTGCCAGTCTGGGATGCTATAGCTCTCTGATGGCCTGGAAGATATGCTGGGAGAGACCTCCGCCATGATGGGGCTGTGATGGTGCTGTGGGCAAGCATTAGTGCTGTGTTCACAGTCCTGCCCCATCCATCTCAGCATAGGCCAAGTATTGCTGGTTTGGGGAATTCTGCTTGCATGCAGCAATTTTCCTTTAATGGTGGATTTAGCCCCATTAAGTCCTTTGCCAGGGGTAAACATTGCTGGTATTGCTACCCTTGGTCTCTTATCCTACCAGCAGAAACAGTTGGAATTCAAAATCCTAAATTTAGATACTTAGCAAGTTTTTCATACATGCCATGGGCAGCACGGGGCCTGAGGTCAGAGATGGACAGGTATCTTCTCTGAGGGTTGCACCAATGTGGCCAACACACAGTTCTGTTTCCTTCCCAGGAGCGTTTCCTTCCATTGAAGAGATACCCGAAAATGTGGTCCATGACCACGAGAAGAATGGCCTCCCTCGCCTCTCTTCCTTCAGTGACGTGGAAATTCAGAAGCGGTAAGAGAAGCTTCTTCAAATGTAGGGGTTGGATTTTGAAAACCTGAGAAGAAATTTTGAAAACACCCCAGGCTTGGGTCTGTACTTGCCAAGTGTTCCAAATTGCTCCAAGGGCCACGGGGAGCTGTCAGTTTGCACCGGTGGGAGGCAGCTGGGCCTATGCCTGGCACTCAGCGCAGTTAAACCCAGATCCTTGTGCAAATTTCTGAACACAGTCTCCGGCTTTACCATCCATTAAAATGAAATTTTATTAGTAGAAATGAGTAGTCAACTTTTTTCTGCTGTAAAAGTTTTACGGATTCCTTGTTGAATGTGATTTTCACTTTATAAGTCAGGGATTTGGGTTGCAGGGAGTCCCTACTAAGTGTTGCATTTTGCCGGAGGCTTTGTCTACCTCTGAGAGTGGTGTGTGGGGCTGCCCCCAGCACAGGCAGGGCCAAGAGACAGACCCAGACAGCAGCAGGGATGGAGTCTGTAGCTCATAAATGGGGATGTTCCCCGTATGAGCTCTCAGATGGCCCCGTGGAGTGAGGTTTAAAGGAGTAAAGCAGCACCTGCCAGACTGCCAGCGGGGCTTTGCCCTCCTTGCCTTGCATGGCCTCTGTCCCTGGTTGATATAGTCTGCCCAGCTCTGCAGACCCTATGAGAGGTGTTCCTGGGGAAGGACTGCCCTGTCACCACTGTGAGCATGTACTTCATTGGGCTTTGGTGGGCCTCAGTGAGCTGAGACACACCAAGCAAGGAAAAGCTGTTTCTGGCATGTGGTGAGCATGCCTTAACAGTGATGGCATTGCTGTCCTTGTTACTGTCACTGCTGCCAGCTATCCTAGCCAGGACCGATACCCTGCTGCTGCCCCAATGGCTGCTCACTGGCCACCACTCCTGCTGGCTGGAAGGTGATGCCTCACTCCCCATTTTCCCGTGTCCCCTTTTCCCTCTTACTTTTCCTTCCCCTAGCAATTTTGAGTTGAATTAAAGAAATACCCTTAAAGTAACCTTGTCTAACCTCAGTTATTTCTGATTCACTCAGAGTTCCTGCCTTTATGATTTCTGCCCAGGAACAAAACTTTAAACATTCTTAAAGTTTTGAATTTTTCAAGTAAAACAAAATATAGATTAAAAAGATGTTTTTGTAGTCCCCACCCCAGATGATTACTAGGACTCATGCCTTGGATACTTAAGGTTTTCCAAGCCTCCATTTCTTCACCTGTAAAATGGGTTAATCCATAAAGTCTAGTAAGAGATGCATGGCAGGGCTTTGCCCAAGTGAGGGCTCAACAAACGGCAGCAGCTGCTCTGTTTATTCTCTGCTCCTCCCACCGTCGTAGTCATTACTGCCAGTGGCACTGAGTTAACCTTGTTTGTTTTCATTTTTTTTCCTTAGCTTAAAAACATACTTCAAGTTTTTTATTGTAAGAGATCCCTTTGAAAGACTCATTTCTGCATTTAAGGATAAATTTGTTCACAACCCCCGGTTTGAACCTTGGTATAGACATGAGATTGCCCCTGGCATCATCAGAAAATACAGGAGGAACCGGACAGAGACCCGGGGGATCCAGTTTGAAGACTTTGTGCGCTACCTGGGTGATCCGAATCACAGATGGCTAGACCTTCAGTTTGGGGACCACATCATTCACTGGGTGACATATGTAGAACTCTGCGCACCCTGCGAGATAAAGTACAGTGTGATTGGACACCACGAGACTCTGGAGGACGATGCCCCATATATCTTAAAGGAAGCTGGCATAGACCACCTGGTGTCCTACCCGACCATCCCTCCAGGCATCACGGTGTACAATAGAAGCAAGGTGGAGCACTATTTTCTGGGCATTAGCAAACGAGATATCCGACGACTGTATGCGCGTTTTGAAGGGGACTTTAAGCTCTTTGGGTATCAGAAGCCAGATTTTTTGCTAAACTAATACATAGGACCTGCGAATTCATGTATCTTTGTTAGACCAGGGGCTAACCAGGGGGAGGTCTGAGCACAGAAATGACACTTCCTCCATCTCACCTCTCCTTTTAGAACTCCTGAGGGCTCCCACGGGCCTGTGCTGGACCCCGCTATGACTTAGTTTGGATATAAGATGTACTGAGGGCCCTGTCCCCCACCCTCACCAGTGTCATTAGGATGCTACTGGCTTTCCCTATCCTCGGAGGGGAGAAGAGTCTAAACACTTGTGTCCGACAGCCCCACAGGGAGAACACTCCACAGCCTCAGCAGCCATCTCCCTCAGCTGTCAAGGGAACACAGGGCTCTCCTGGCTGGTCAGGGGCAGGATCAGCACCCAGCACTTTCAGGACAGACAGAAAAGCCAAGAGGCTGCAAAAATGACTGAGGCTCACACAGCATCATGTCTGAGGAACAGAGTGACACCTCTGGCTTTCATCTTGGTGCTGATGTGAGCATGGAGGCGGGACATTGTTTTCATGATTGTGTTTCTCTGACATTCCATGGTACCCTGAGCATGGTTTCCAGCAGTCCGTGTTTTTAACATCCATGCCCACGCCACACCAGACCTGTGTCTGAGCCTCACCTGCCAAACACCTCTCTCCTTCACTACAAGACATACAGATTGCGAAATTGAGGGCAATCCTACCTGCGAGGAAGAACTTATTTGGGGGCCTCAAAAGGACCAAGGCATGGGAAGAGAGAGAGCTGGCTGGGCCTTGGGGCTCAGGCTGCTGTGGATTCGAGCATGTCCGTCCAGGCTTGCCCTACCTGGGTGGGCAGCAGGGCGTCTGCACCTGTCTTCTCCAGGGATCTCCAAACACCACAAGGGCATCATGCCAGCATCTCAGAACTCAGTGCAGTTCAGACATTTTAATTCCTTTCATCTCAGCAAAATGCGTACCACAGGGCCCATTTCTGATAACACCACCATCCTGGTTCCATGGCTAGAAGTTGGGTAATCAAGTTCACCAGCAATAAAATCCTGGCTGAGGCAGCCTCTGGTAATGTGTCTTCCAGGCACTGAGGCAGGCCTCAGTGAAGAGCAAGCCACAGCGACTATTTCAGATGCCGTCCAGCAGCCAGGGCCATGGACAGATGACAGGACCATTTGCTAAGATATGTCCCCAGTGCTCAGGTCTGCATGACACTGCTGAACCAGGGTGGGAGGAGCAAGCTGGGCTTTTCTTAAAGGCAGCCTCAACCTTCCTTATCTCAAAATGGTTTCCTGAATATGTAAATGTGAAAGTAAAATAAAATTTAAAATATGTGCCAAACCTGACCTGGGCTGCTGTTCCTGGGGAAGGTACTCCCAGGCCACAAGTGCCCCTCCCTTCTAGGCCAGTGACAGCAGATGGGCCTAGGCACACACAGGCTGCTCAGGGGGAAAGCAGGGCTCAGCCTTTGTCCATCCTCAACCAACAATGCCAAGGTCGTGACACTTGGGTTGTTTTTCCATGAAATTTTAGCAGAGTCTTGTTCAAATCTCAGACCTAATAAGCTGATCTATTATTTTCCTATATGAAATGTAACAGTGTTAAATAATGTATGTGACTTTAAGGCCTTAAAGTTAGTCCTGATTAAAATAGCATTTTCTCTCAGAAGCAAAAGGTTGGCCACTTGGGTTTATTTTATTCCTCTTCTTATTTGCACTTGGGTTATTTCCCTAACATGTTTTGCCAAACAAGTAGGAATTGCTACTAGAATGTCTCCTGCACATCTCACAGTGTGTCTGGCACAAGGACACCCCTGCCCACTGCAGCACCTAGTACCATGCCCACTGCAGGTCAGCATCCCCTGCCTCAGTGGGTCAGCCCCTGTGCCTCCACCGAGGTCCTTGGGCTTCCTTCTGATTCTCCAAAATCTACCTACTCCCTTCTCAGGCCTAAAGCAGGTGATCCTTTCCCTTCTGTCCCCTGAGACATGGCCACAGTCTGGGGACTGATCCCCCAGCTGGCTGCCAACTCAGGGCAGAGGCCGGGGCTGGAGGTGCTGATCATTCCCAGGCAGCAGCACCAGGGCAGGGACAGCCGGGCAGCTGGAGAGCATGGGGCCCATGGGGAATCTCCTAGGTGTGAGAGAAACATAACCAGCATCCCTGCCTCAGGAAAGTGTCTCAGCCAAGAGAGCAATTTCTAAATTTAAAAGTTTAATATATTAGACTGACTTAATGGCTCAGTGTTGTAAACCGCTTCTCTCTACTGGATTCTGCTCTTCACACATTGCAGATCTGTGGGCTGTGGGCTGTGGGCTGTGTACTGAGAACCTTCACAGTGTGGTGTCCACAGCCCAGGTGAGATCTGATGGTCCTAGCGGCTGGCTGGGTGCACATGCTCCAGGTTCCTGGGGAGAAGAGCCTCCTACCAGGGAGGGGGCCCCAGAGAGTTCCTGGGGGATAATGCACCCCTGACCCCCACTCCTCCATTCTAAACCCCAGTATGGGTTGCTTTGCGTCCAGAACCAGGGATCGGCAGAAGCCCCAATCAGAAGGGGAAGAATAAACAAGACGTCACATAAATGTGAGGCAAAGGCAGCTGGTCATCTGCCTGACAAATTAAATTACTCAACATAGGTTTTCCAAGCCCCTTGGACATGCCGTGCTCTGTCCTAGGGTGGTAGGGTTCCAGGGTAGCAGAACCACAGGCTTCCAGAAGAGGAGAGGCCTGGGAAGTGCCGGGACGGGGCTGCATGATCAGGGGAGGAGGATTCTGGCAGGCACGCACGCAGGCCCCGTGGGGAGGATTCTGGAAGGCGCAGCTGGCAAGAGAGGACCTCCAGGGAGGCAGCTGTACTCAGGGCATGGCAGATTGGTCACCTGTGGTTAATAGGAATCCCAGCAGGGAAAGGCTAAGCAGCATTACAGAGAGTCTTAAGGGGTGTGCTACATGTGTGGGGTGAATACGTACCATCACAGGCATTTATCATGAGTGCATTCACTTGCTAACAAAGTGACAAGAGAGTACCAGCTTGGGAACATAGAGCTCATTAGAAAAGTAAGCAGCCAGGTAGCAAATGGTCCTAGGTTCACTTCAGAGGCTCAGAACAGCATCACATTCCTGTCAGATTTGACAAAAGGAACCAGGAGCAGGCTTTTCTGGGATGGCCCATGCCTTGTATTCTTCCAATAGACTTTAAAAGAGAAATGATAGGGTCCCTCTGAGGCTGTGAATCAGGAGGCTTCTTCCCAGTAGTGTCCAAGGCTGGGAGGAGCAGGGAGGGGGAAGGGCACTGTGAGGTGGGAGTTCTGGCTTTGCTCAGACTTCTGCTGGGGGGAAAGGGGAGCTGATCTCTGCCAATAAGGAAAGCAGCAGCATGAACAGGATGCGTTAGGGTAGGAGACTGAACTTCATCTGGCCATAGTTGGTGGAGCACTAGCTCAAGTTTCTCTGCAGGGAACTGCACACTGGGGGCACACCCTGAGCAGTGTGGGGTGCAGCAGCCTGGGGGGGAATTCTGGCCCCACACACAGATGCTCTGGGGGCCCCCAACTCCTGGAGAACCATGGCAGGCAGCCCAAGCACCCGGGAGAAGAGGTGAACCTAAACTGGGACCGTTTGGGGAACTTGAAGAGAGGGGTTCAGAGTGGCTGACCTGCTGCTGACAAAGATGAAGGTGGCACGTGGGGCCCAGTGGTGCGTTCAGGACTGTGATGTGTGCTGCCAGCCATGGAGAGGTTTTAACAGGCTTTGTTTTGTCCTGGAGAAAGTTCATGATGGTGAGGAGAATAAGTTGGAGAAGGTATTATAAAAACCCACGCCTGGAAGACCTGCCAACAGGCCAGTACAGCCACCCAAGGGAGATGGTGGTGACTGGGCTAGGGGGAGCACAGAAGAGGCAGGCCAGCACCCTGGGCCAGCCTGGCCCCTGGACACGTGAGGGCAGTGCACTGTGAGGAGCTGGAATAGAGCAGGGCTCAGCTCTGGAGCCGGTGGGCAAGTGTGTCCGGTGTCTAGACCGTGTGCTGTGCAGAAGCATAGCAAGGACTCGATGCATGGGGGGTGCGGCTGTGCTCTGCAGGCAGGTTTGGTGCCATTATCTAGGTAATGGGCAGGATTTAATTTTTTTCATGAAAATTTAAAAATATATGCCAAAATAAAATAGTCACTGAACTCCAGTTGGCCCCAGCTTCAGCGATTTTCATACAATGCGTTTCCTTTCGCGTCTCATCTGCCCCTTGTCCTGCTTTCTGAGGATGGCTTACACAGTGCACACACCTAGAAGGCCTAGATTGGGGGGTTAGCCCCAGCACTTTGATACCAGACCCCACAAGACTGACTCTGAGCTACCTGATGCTGACTCACATCCATTGTTTTCACCCTGATGTTGACCACAGACCAAGGGCCCCATGCAGTGTGGCTCCCCCTTGGGGCCACCCAGCACCTACCTTTGGCTTCTCAGATCCCCACTCTCCTTCACCATAGTGGCTATTCCAGCCTTTTCCATTTACTCAAACTTCCACTCAATTCTTGTACTGTCAGCAAAAGACCTCATCCCGTGCAGAGAAAACAGATGTCCTCAGATGAGCACTTCTCCAACATCCTGGCATTAAAAAAACCACACACTCTCTGCATACATACCGTCCTGTCCTGCCTTCTGCCTTCCCTGGATCTAGCACAGTGGGAGGGCTTTGTGTCCCCTCCCCTCCGCCCCCTGGTTGCTGTGCCTCTATTCCCTCTGTTCCCTCCATTCTCACCCCTTCCCCCTCCTACTGTCCCCCAGCAGCATCCCAGCTGTCCAGGGTTCTCTTGAATCTGAAAACCCCCACCCAAGATGGAGCACTACCCTAGCTCAGCAGCCCCACCCACCTGTCAAAGTCATCAGCTGTGAAATGGAGCCAGGCAAGGCAGAAGAGGCAGCTCTTACACAGGATTTGACAGGAACGATCACAAAAAATGTTTCCAAACCACAGCTACTTCAGGAGTCACACCAGGACAGCTGGCTGCTCACACCAGAATGCTTGCCTGACACAATTTCCTAAACTCAAACCAAGAAAACAACCCGCTGAGACTTTAAAATGACAAGTTTTACTTTGCAACTGCCTCCAGTCAGCAATCAGAGTGCCCAGCTCCCCAAGGACACCACAGGCTCCAGTGGACTTTTCTTTCAATACAACTTACAC